TGAGATTATAGGGTCAGGAAAGAGCAGAGAGGGGTGTCATATCTCCTGAACCACTGCTGGAAAAACATGCCCCTTCCAAAGCGGGGGCCTGGGTATGCCAAGGGCAGGGGCATGCCACTCCATGGTTTATGATCATTGTAAATTATGGATAATAGTAAAAGAAAATAGTCTCTGCATTTTGCATGAGCCATTTTTGTATTGTACTTGGCAAACAATATCTCGTCCAGTATATTTTAAATACTAAGTGCTAAGTTGGGAAAACAACGAGATGTTTGTAAATATGATAGACCATTACAATATACTGCTTCTCATTTGAAAAGTCATTTGTGCAAGAAATGATTATTGACCCATGATATGTAAATGATTGAAATGCAGAAATTAATATTTGGGTCAACTCATGTATTTTTCAACCATGAAATGAAAAGCTCAGTATTCACATTCCAGTTCATACATGAAAGCATTACAGCACTATTACTTGGCTATTGTATTAATTTATTATTGTCTTAGTTAACGATATACAGAGTTACATCCCTACTTTCAGACTGATCAAGGCATTGCTAGGCCACACTGATGTTTCAGCCCAGGATTACCCCTTATTCTTGTGAGAATTACCCCTGATGAGAATAAGTCAAATTCACAGTTGATTTAAGCAAATAAACAGCACCACTTGCCCTATAGCAGTGTTTGGCCTTAGTATACCCTAAATGTTACATGTGCAGGATTGGTGGCACCGCACCTCCTCAGACTGTTTCCACTGGGCTTCTTTTTCATCTCATTCACAGGAGCTTTACACCACTGTGATGCTACTTATTTACTAGAATTACTCCCTAAGTATAAATAAGCGCAGCATAAGAACCCTTAGCTGCAAGAGTTTTCTTTCAGTATTTTAATCTAAGGGGTCTTGTTTATGCTCCCCCTCCTCTTTTGCTGGGACTCAGAGAAATTGGGGAGTGGGGTGTTTCTAATGACACCGGTGGAAGTACAGCTGGCACTGACTGAACCGCAATAGCCCCTCCAGCTCAAGCTGACATAACGTTTCAGTGAATTTGGTGCTCGCAAGACATGCTAGATCATTAACCCAGAGACTCAGGTTCTCTCTTTCTCCCTAGGAGTGTTCCAAGACCTGGAGCGACAGCACTTCAGCCTCAGCCCGGGCTGCCATGCTCAGTGCCCGGGGCGGCAAGGAGGTGGCCCTGCGAACCTGCGAGAAGCCCTGGCTTCATCAGCTGCTCGCGCACAGATGCTTGGCTGGGCTTGGCAGCAAGGGTCAAGCTGTGCAAGTGAGAGCTACGCTATGGACACCTCTTGGGCTGCTCTCCACTACAATTTATTCCCATTAGCTACCAAGCCTAGCTGGATTGACTCCGATTTAAGCACAAAAAGTCAAATAATTCATCAATATCCTATACACTGTGTGCCCCACCTTCATGGATTTTTAAGCAAAAGCAAACACTGTGTCATTCTTTGTGCCATGAGTCCACTTGATGTGGACTCCTTAATGAGATGTATAATTTAAATACAAATAAGTGTATGAGTGAAACACATGCACAATGACATTGGTGACAGACAGAATGAATGGAGAAGGGATGGGCAGAATAATATAGATAATACCAAAAAGCAACGTTCAGAGCTAAATCAGAATTAACCCATGAAACACAACGTGTTTCATGAAACCACTGCTGTATATGTTAATAATGACTACGATGACTCAGATGAATTAGACTGAGGTAGTATTGCATCAGGATTGCTGCAGGGTTCATATCTGTTACATACTACGTATATTGGGTCATGCCTATGAGAATGAACTTGTTTTTTTAACTAAAATTATATTTGCTTATATGTTATAGACAAGATATTTTATGCATTTTCTACGTGACAATTTTATACTTTAGATAAAAGTTATTTTAAGCAGCTTTAAACTGCTTATCTTTGATGGAGACAGACCCAGCTTTACACAGCTTGCTAATAAGGAAGCCCCAGAACGAGAGCACGTTTGGGTGGCGAGGCACAACCTGAGGACTACATAAAACTGTGACGGAGATGAAGCGGCGGCGGGGCTGTTCAGTGCTGTAGCCCCTGGCCCCACTGCGTGACACAGAAATGGCCCACGCTGGCCAGCTGCAAGGGAGGGGGACATCCTCCTGGGCTCGCCCCATTAATCATCTGCCAGTTTCCTCAGTCTCTGGTGCAAAAGGCAGACCCAGATGACTAATTCTGGCAACAGAGGCCAGCTTGCGAAGGAGAGCTCCCCTTGATACAGGCATGATCTGGTTTGACTTTTCCTGTGGCCCGTTCATGTGTTTGAGGCTAACGGCTGACGTGAATCACCGCGTCGGGCGGGAGCGGCACGCTCCGTACTGGCGGTCTGAAGAAGAGGGATGGTGCCCACCGGGGGCGGTGGGGCAGCGGGTGCTGGCTCTGAGTGCTTCGACCGCGGGAGAACAGGTCCGGCAGAGCCTCGCTCCAACCCAGGGGAGCTCCCCCACGGGGAGCTGGAGGGCAGCGCCAGCCACGAACGCAACGAGAGCCCGTGCAGGTCTGAAATGAGTTCACGTGGGAGTCTCAAGCCGACAAGGTGATGATTGCCGCGGCCTCAGCCAAGCACGGCCTTTGTTTAACTTTACTAGTATGAGTAAGCTAACTGGCGTCACTGGGCCTGCATGCGAGCTTAAAAGTTACGGCCACGTTCAAGTGCTCCGGTGGGTCGGGGAGCGATGGGTGTCCAGCCCCTTGCAGGGCGCAGCGCTGGGAGCAGCCTGGCCGCGACCCTCGGCGAAGCAGGGGGGTGCGCCCAGCGCCCGGCCACGCTCAGCCGGAGGCTGCACGGCCCCACGCCCTCCGCAGCCACATAATGCCGGGGATTGTCTAAATCGTGAAACAACATGTTGTACCAGGGCAGCCAAAAACAACAATAAAATTAGCAGGAGCCAGTCCCGCTGACTCTCGAGAAGCTGCAGAGTTTCAAAATTAATCTGAAATTTACCTCTAACCCTGAGAGCAAAACTAATTGCAGAATGTAAGGCGCTCTGAACATGTCAGGGAACTTGATGGGAATACCTTGGAATAAACAGAAACAGTTTAGATAAAGCCCCCATTTTAATTGTATCAATTCTGCCAATTAATGATAATGGAAGAGCAGTCCAATTAGCTAAATAGCTAATAGTTTTATCAAGCAGAGGCTGGCAATTTAAAGCAAACAAATTCTTTCTAATTTTATCCCCTTGCACACCAAGATGTTTAAAGGATAATGGGGGATCCAATAAAGGATATTGCTCAAATAGAGCTACATTTAAATCGCCTAATGGCTTTAAGAGTTTTACCCCAATTAACAAAGAAGAAACATGAACATTCAGTGATTTCCAGCATAATATCTAAAACCATCGTTAAAAAAAGAATAACATAGTCTCCAACAAAGGACAGACTGGGAAACATCACTGAGTTTTCCCTTGAAAATACTGGTTTCTCCCAAAACAAAGGCTCCACTGTAACAGCAAAAGTGTCAGAGAAAAAAGACTCTCCTGTCTAAGCCCCAGTATATAAATCATCTTCAAACTATGGTCATTAGTTTTAACATAAGTGTGGATTTGAATAAAGGAGATTGACCTATGTAACATATTTCAGACCAAATCCTACTGTTACCTAAATCTGAAATAAGTTACAGCTGTTGAAGAGAATCAAAAGCCTTTTCAAAAATCAATAGCCAGAACAAATTCCTCATGATCAACATTTTGAGGATAAAAAATCCATTATAGTGATGTCTTTGATTGCTATTAATGAAGCAATCTGGAGCAAATCCAGAATGATCCATATGGATAATCGAATCTCTCATTTTCTCACATTTTACAGTGCCCAGATTTGGGGTCTGATTTATGAGACAGCACCTGATTTATGAAAAGGCACCTTTCCTTCAGGCCCTGGGCTGCCCAGTCTGGACAGCGGATGGCATGGTCTCAAAAGGGGGTTAGAGGAGAAATCCACTCATATGCTCCGAGAAAGAAGAGCTCAAATAAATCAACTTCCTCTCTGTCCCACAGATCTCCGAGTACCTCTACTCCTCTACTGGTCTTGTTGAGGCTATTTCAGGCTGCAGTGATGGCTGAGCTGCTGCTGTGGAAGCGGAGGAGGGTGCTAGGGATGGGAAATCTTGACAGATTTAAGTCAACGGTTGGGACCACGTGGGGCAAGTGGGTGTCGTGGGGGAGCTGTCACTGCAGTGTGCACCCAGGTCCATCTCCTCTGGGTTCTGCTTTGATCCCATGACTGCTCCTCATACATAGCTGCTCCAGAGCATGCAGGTGGAAGCAGCGTCCCTAGGAGACCCACAGTGGCCTTTTCTGCAACAGTCTCCTCCTCTGAGGCAAAGCTTTCCAGCCAGGAGAGTCTAGCACCTCACCCCTCAGCAGCCAACTTTAGGGCCTGTTCCTATAACCATTCTCTCCCCTCGCTAGCTGCCAGCCCCTTTCCCTGCATGCTCTGCGAACTTCATCTCCCTTTCTTCCTGTTCCTCCGGCCCCCGTGTCTCCTCGTTGCTGACCCAGCAGCTCTCTTACCTGGTGCCTCTGCTCTCCCTGGGGAAACCTGCAAATGTGACACCCCTATTCTGGTTGCCTGGGAGCAGCTGCAAATGCACTGCACAGCCCAGCAACAGATTTTGAAAATTTCAGCAGAAAACCATTTGTGATAGAAAAGATGACATAGTTCCTGTTCGTGACTTTGCTTTTTCGTTGCCTCTAACATCTATCTCTCTAGGGTAGGTGCCCACCTCCCTCATCTTCCCTTAAAGTCTGAGTTGCCTGTGGTCTGGAAACTGACACATCCTACATAACGCTCCTGGGCCTATGTCATAGGGCCAGGATTTGGCCTTCAGTCTCTGAGCGACAGTGATTCACTCGCCATTCAATAAAGTACCTGTATTATACGAACCTGGTAGGAATTGATTCTTATTTGAAACCAAATTTTAGGTTTCAAGCAACAACAAAAAAGTTAGATATCAGGTCAATATGCTTTGTATGGGTATCACATTAGGTCAGAAAGATACTGAACTTTCACCTTTATTATGACTGTAAATTATCTTTGAGTTAGATTTAATTTCACAGGTGTAACATCCCCTTCTCCCTCTAACCTACAGACTTCACGCTGGGAAGCTCAGTTGCTTTTTCTTTTTTTTAATATTTTCAAAAATAGCAGATGCAAAAAGGTGTTTAGAAGGCTGATGTATATGTAAGGAATAGTTAGCAACAGAGCCATCTGCCTTTCTAGCTGCTGAAATCGTATACAAAAACTTTCATCCCAACTTCACAACCGACTAATAGTCTCCTGTTGCTCCCATCCCTACAGCTCATCTCTGCATTTAAACTCCACTAAAACCTACATAACTACACCCTACAGCTTCTGCTGTAGGTGCTGTTTCTACCATCTTAGCTGTGTAAGGCTGTGGCAAACTCACTGGATACACTTTCTGAAGATTCCTCTTTGTAAAAGGCTGTCCTTGGGTGAACAGGGGCAATATAAATCACGTCTCTTCCATATGACGCCTTGCAAATGGGATAGAGGCCGTTTCCTTTCTACACTTGGTAAAAATGCTGTAAACACAACAACCTAAGACCAAGCACACTAGATTGAACAAAGATCACCTATTCCAGAATTTTATGTCAGGTAATTACCATTAGTGGATGTTTAAAAGTGAAAGTATAAGAACAGGTCAGAGGTTGCTGCTCCACTGGTGGCATGCACCCTCCCAGCTCCCAGCAATTTGTGGCTCAGGCAATCTCTATTTGAAGCTTATTTGGACCTGCTGGGGGGGTTACAGAAACCGTCAAGCTAGTCTGGAGTCCAACTGTTGGCAACTCTTGAGAATATATGGAGACTGCCTTTATCATTTTAGAGTTAAAATACATATATTTTTTAGAGATCTGAAATGGTACCTGTAACTCATGTAGACAGATCGCGTTCATTCCTCGCTACCCACAGCGCTGAATGGCTTTCCTCAAATCCTTTAACGGGCTTGAATTCAAATGGTGAAAGCAGACCCATTACCAGGAACTGTCTAGAAGGAAAAGAAGAGAACTGTTAGGCAAACCGGGCGTATTCAAAGGTAGTTCCACCAGCAACATCAGCGTTCTCCTCTGGTGATCTGTGGAGGCATACGGGAAAAGAAACTTGACCTGGGAGACAGGTACATGTGCTAGAGCACATGTGCTAAGCCCCGGCACCTGCAGGACATCTGTAGGTGGAGCAGGTTCCAGAACTGACCCAAGCTCACCCGGCCAGGTGAGCCAATCCAGCCCGGCCAGGGAACAATCTGGTGTGCCTACCACTCCGGAGCAGCTCTCCTACACAAGATAGACATCTTTGTCTGATTTGAGGGGTATCCTTGAGACAACCCCCTGGCAGATTCAGTGGGGAGATCTGACCTGGAAAGTGAAGTGACTTTTATTATGCAGGGCCAGTGCCCAAGATGAAAAAAGCAGGCAATGTGGCAGGAGCATTCGGGGGTACCATTTCATCTGCCTGCTCCTGCCTTGTAACAGTGCCCCGCACCAAACCTGAGAAGGCTCATCATGACCGTTATATAGAAGAATTCTACCATGAACTCAAGCTATCAAAAGCGAGAGGATTTCATTGCTGCCAGTCAGAGTAAAAGAAGGGATAGGCAAAAAGTTTTCTTCCCATCTTTATTAAGAGTCTCCTCCAGCGACTAAGGGGCAACAGCAAATCGCAGTCGTGCTATTTTCTTTAAACACTTTTGTCACTAGCAAGCTCAGGAACATAAGACTGAAAAATACAAATGTAGTTATAAATTCCATTAACTTTTCAGAAACCAAAGGAAATTTACCACAAAAGGAGAACAAATTCTGTGCCTAGTTACAGTAATGTAATTCCGGGAAAGCCGAGCAGGAAGCACTAACACAAGGAAAAGAATTTGCTCTGAGCTCTGGGAATGCATGTTAGGCTTTTTTGAACAGATATAGCTATCTCTCCATATTGCGCAAAGGAACGAGGGAGAGACTTTTTATGCCCATTAAAAAGAAATCCAAACACTAGCTTATTTTTACAAATAAATGTGCTACCTGAAGAATAGTCATATACACTCTCATTTGCATAGGATTTGGTATACATCTGTGCTCTTCAATAGATTACTCCAAACCCGGAGCATTTCACATAATTAATGTCAATATTCTTGGCTTATTTGATATAAAAGAAAAGCATTTCTAATTAGCCTTTTTGATGTGTTAAACTTCAGTATTTCTCCTGAGTGTTTTCCAAATCAGGTCTCTTTTTTTTTTTTTTTTTAAACACTCCTGCACACAGAGAGAGTGTGGCTTATGCACAATTTACATCTTATTCTGCAGATAGTTTAAATTGCATATAAGTGATAACTAGGCCTTGGGGTGGCCCTCAACATGGGGTGAGTTTCACCTACTGCAAGCAATGCCAGGAGTCCACGTAGTATAAACTGGCCTTGTGACAAGTCAAACATTCCAATTTCCTGTTAAATTCAATCAACGCTTTGCATATTTCCATTTATTATAGCGACACGTAAAGTTTACTTTTCAACTGAAGCAAACCCTACTTGCCTTCACTGAACCTCTGGACAGTCTTCTGAGAGGAACAAAACCTTTACAGCAGTGACATTCAGAGGCTTATCACAACTGGCCAGGGACACAAGTAAATCCTGAGCAGTGTAAGAGAAGACAAGTGTGGTGAGCTGCCCAGAGGCAGCAATAAGGAAGGTCAAGGTGAGCACTTTTTTATCAACTGACCCTGCAGAAAGGCCAGACAAATTCAGAAGTTTTTGCCAAGCCAAAGTATTGGTCCTAACAGCAGAAAGTATTGGGAGGGTGGAAGGGTAAGCATACAGATCCAAGTCTCTTATCACTTACACCTCTTTCCCTCAGGAGCAGCTCAGCATTGGATTTACATTTGAGTAAAACCACTGTGCCAGACTGACTGGATGTCTATTGGAAGCAATAGGAATATTTTTCCTTTACTTTGGGTCTTGGATTAAGCGGTGCAGAAACTGATCTGTGGAGGCACAGAGGAGAAGAAATTGTGCTTCTTTATTAAAATGGACAAGCAAAGTGCTTTATCGAGGGCTGAAATAAGATGAGACATTCCATGACAAGCTCAGGTTGTTTTTCTTTCCTATGTAGCTCTCATTTAACACAAAGAAGCTCAGTTTCCATATCATGGGGCCCTTGATTCTGAGTAAAAAATATAGCATCTTCCCTAGAAGCACGGAGGCCCTGTTTTACAGCTTTGGCAAGACTGCATACATCAGCCTTGCTGGCTGATTAGTGAATTCAAACAAGAATAGCAAATTCCTAAAACTTTGGCCAAATTGAGCAATTTTGGGCTGTTCCAATAAGCCAATATTGTTGTGGAAACCTGGAAGCAGCAGTCAAGTCTTTGATGATTTATTTAGTAGGAGTCATCTAGTAGCTAATTGTCTGCAATTTTTATCCTCATTCATGTGCACTGCTGATTCTTCTTCCGGCATCTGCAGTTTTCTTCTTAAGCTTTCTTACATATCTGTATGTAACGTTTCCAGACAGCAGTTCAACTTTATCACAAATATTTTCATGAACTTGCCAAACCACATCCAAGATTTTCAGACTCAAAAGTGAAAGATAAAATCATCCTCAGAGGGCACCTCACCCGTCTCCACCCAGGCACATGAAAAAAACTCAGCCTCAGGCTCTAGCATTTTATATTTATCATGAGTCAGAGCTTTGTGATTTTTTTTGGTGATGGAATTTTCACCTTTCCATTCTTTTGCTGGATTTTTCACCTTGGATCCATATCAAAAGAGAGAAAATAGTGGTGTGCCATTTAAAAGAACCATGCACTCTGTCCGCACTGCAGATCTCACCATCTCTGTAGTGCAGGCCCTGGTTAGTTTGTCACTGGTATGCCCGTCAGTGACTGCAGATGTACCACAGGTAGAATGAGTGATGACCGCTAGTAGGGTTTTGGCTGAGCGGAGAAGACTTTTGTACCACACTGGCAATAAGTCTTAGAAGAGATCATAGGTAACTAAAACGCTTAAGATATTTGATCACTGTAACCTAGATCTTTCTGATTAAGTTAAAAGAAGAATTTGATTCACTGTGTGGTTCTTTTTTCATCAAGGTTTAAAGATGGCCCTGGTGCCCGTAGAATATTTAAGCCATAAAAACATTACCACTATACTGAGATTTCTGGTTCATCTCGCACGGTTCTGTGCGAGATAGAAAGTTCTTTCTGTTCATTGTCTGCATTCAGTTATTCTGATGCGTGACCTGTCTCCCATAACACCCTCATAGCCAAGCTCAAGAAGTACAGGCTGGATAAAGTGGACGGTGAGGTGGCTTGAGAACTGGCTGAATGGCAGGGCTCAGAGGGTTGTGATCTGTGGCACAGAGTCTAGTTGGAGGCCTGTAGCTAGCAGTGTCCCCCAGGGGTCAATTTGGGGTCCAGTATTGTTTAACTCATTCATCAATTACTTGGCTGAAGGGACAGAGTGCACTCTCACCCTCAGCAAGTTTGCTGATGATACAAAACTGGGGGGAGTGGCTGACACACCAAAGGGCTGTGCTGCCGTTCAGGATCTCGACAGGCTGGAGACATGGGCAAAGAGGAACCTCATGAAGTTCAACAAAGGTAAATGCAGGGTCCTGCACCTGGGGAGGAAGAAACCCGTGCACCAGCACAGGCTGGGGGCTGACCTGCTGGAAAGCAGCTCTGCTGAGAAGGACCTGGGGGTCCTGTTGGACAACAAGTTGACCATGAGCCAGCAGTGTGCCCTTGTGGCCAAGAAGGCCAATGGTATCCTGGGGTGCATTAGGCAGAGTGTTGCCAGCAGGTGGAGGGAGGTGATCCTGCCCCTCTCCTCAGCCCTGGTGAGGCTGCATCTGGAATACTGTGTTCAATTCCGGGCTCCCCAGTCCAAGAGAGACATGGCACTCCTGGAGTGAGTCCAGCGAAGGGCTGCTAAGATGATCAAGAGACTGGAGCATCTCTGCTATGAAGAAAGGTTGAGGGAGTTGGGACCGTTCAGCCTGGAGAAGAGAAGACTGCGGGGGGATCTGATCAACGTGTATAAGTATCTGAAGGGAAAGTGCCGAGAGGATGGGGCCAGACTCTTCTCCGTGGTGCCCAGCGACAGGATGAGAGGCAACGGGCACAAACTGAAGCACAGGAAGGTCCGTCTGAACATGAGGAAAAACTTCTTTACTGTGAGGGTGACGGAGCCCTGGCACTCTCTCCTATTTGTATGTTTATGAAGAAGCCTGGGTCCCCTTGGAGGTGGAAGATATTCTATTTGGGCAATATTATTATCATAATCTACTATGATCCATGCCTGTGGGAAGATATTTTTAAAAAGAATAAGTTCTATTTTGTTAACGTAGCCATTGTTTAAATGCAAAATATAATTACAGTACCCACCTAGGGTGTATGCTGTTGTGTAATTTTATAATACTATGTCTAGATGACTGTTGGCATTCCACCTATGAACTTACCACACCCAGGAATGCTGGTATTACACAATTACACACATCCTGTTGACTAATTACATAATAATTAGTATTTTTAATATTCAAAGATGCATTTGCATTGGTTATGCAAGATTTTTTGTCACTGAAAAATTAAAAACAAAATATAACAAATATATGTAGCGAACACTGCTGGTCAGAGCTTACAGAGCATAGGCTTATCTTCCAGCAGACCGCACATGATACTTCATATTTCATACATTTTAAACACATCTTTGGCAGTCCCTCCCTTCCTCACTGTTACTTTGGGTAACACCTGCTTTATAAAACTGATAAAGTTATTTTGCATTCAACATAGTCAGAATTTCTGTAGCCTGCTTACTTCTGACTTACGATCACTTATCATGACCAGAGATAATTTTTGGCCGAAAAACTACTGCGATGTGCCTGAGGAATGAAGATTGTTCTTTACAATGGCAGTTCTGGGAGGAATCTAAAAAAGGTGCTCTAAGTTAGCAATTACCTACAAAATTATCTCAAATGCTGTTGTTTTAAGAAAGCGCTATTGATGAACCCGAGCCATTTGGATGTGGAACACATTTTCCACAAGTTTGGGTGGAACGTCCTGATCTAGGTTTTTGGTTCTCCTCATGACAGAGGTGAGAGGCCAGATGTCGAGTCTGGCTCACTACTTGGCTCTGGCGGCTTTAAATTAACAGACTTTTTGTTGCAACTGTGTCTTAAAAGATATACCTAAAAAAATTGCTTCTGTAATGTAACTTCTAAAATTTGGTGTTTCTTAATCCAGCCACAGTTTACAGAAGACGGCTTAGAGACCCAGCTCTGGGCCTTGCCCAGGTCATATTTTTCATTAGCACTAAAGCGCACCGTACCTACCGTTTTTGTGATGTTTCTGGCCTGACTTTGTTAGCTTCCCTGGAGCCCCAGTTTCGCACACAGACCTTTATGGCAGTAGGGATGGAAAAGATAGACTGTGCTCTCATCTCCAGCTATGTCAGTGGTCCCATGTGGTTGCTAGACAACAGTATAAAGCAACCAACACCTTGCAGGCAACTTCATTTTTTTGCTCTTCATGAATTTCAATTCTAACTTTTCAATCACTGTGGCTGCAAGTGACACTTCAAGGTCTTGAGGGCAAATCATTGCTCAGGGGGTTCGCACTGGGCTTCCTACCTGTTTCTCTTTCCATGGGGTAAATGCGTTTCTTCGGAGAGCAGCTGCCTGAGAAAGTGTTCTTAAAAGGTGCCATCTTGGGGGATGTGACTGGCTAAATTCCTCTTTTCCCTTCTATCCTAAAGGAAAACAAAGTTACAATGAACTTAGGTGCTTTGCTATCCACCCCCTCCCTTCAGAAATGCTGTAGGAATTTGCATATATTATTAGCAGCAATACTGAAAATAATCAAAAACAAAAAATTTCACCTGGCCTGACAACACGAGGGCCAACTTGCTTCCTGATGTGATTTTAAACGGCTGAGATATTAAAAAACTGAAAAACGGGGTTTGTAATGGAAATACTGACAGACTATTAACTATAGCGACGCTTCTCTAATAAATGGAACGGCCTGTCATAATCTCTAGTTCATAAATATGCAAATACAAGGCAGAGGATTTGCTCCAAAGGATGTCTCTATAATTTTAACTGACCTTTACTGATACTAAATGAGCCTGTTGCTTCTGTTTTCGAGCATTAAAGTACAGGGAATCCTGTTTCTCTGCATTCAAGGCCTACTACTGCTCCCATTAACATCAATGGCAAAATCCTTGCCGTCTTCAACAGGAAAAAAATCTGGCCCCACAACATATAAAATGTAAGACTTCTGGCATAAAACTGAACTCTTGACTGTATTTGATTTTAATTCTGTTCTCATCTATGTTAATTATTACTATATTAATTCTTCTGTTTGGGAGAAATTAAGCACACATTCACCCCATGTGTCAAAGAGCGTGACCTGCCAAAATGCTCTAATTTGTTCAGTGATAAACAGGCCATCAACACAACGATATAAATGTTGAATTTTATCCAGTTTCCTGTTCTGGACCAAATGGAGGTAAATCCTGTGACTTAATATTTAATAATCTAAATGTAATTTCTTTTTTGTGCCTCGCACTGCACAGTAAAAGAATTGGATGGCTAGCAATTTTGCAGATTCCAAGCCCCTAATTATTTTAAGCTATTCATCCTGGTATCTGTCCATTGATGCTCAGCCAAGTTGCCAGCAGGGGAGAGATCTGTCCAATCCAGGAGCTAAATGAGTCACTGAGAGTCAATCTGTTTTTTTCCTTTGCTGCTGGGATTTCCTTGGGTCCTGGCCTCTCTCTGCTCCAATCACAAACACAGCTCCAGGCGTGGGTCCTCTTTGGCTTCGCCTGCCTCCTGTCTCCCCATGTCTGCTCTGCTCATCACAGCTGCTGATGGGTTCTTGCTGGCTGGCCACAGAAGACCAATGCTTCCATCGCACCGCTCTTACGGCCCTTGCTCTAAAGGGAAATGAAGACATCTTGGCCTTGTTGAATTTGCTGCTGAAGTAATACATCAGGTATCTAGACGGAAAGCAAACCACATGAATAAAATGTGTCATCTGGGTTAGACACTAATTTATTTGCCTTAAGTTCTGGGAACAATATTTGCACTTTTTCCAGAGAAAACAGTTAAGTTCCATAGAAATTGAATACTAATATAAGTTCTGCAGCATGGAAAACAAATACGAAACAGAGAAAAAATAGACTCATCAGAAATATTAGCTGCTCAGTATTAAAATATCTGACAATGCTGCAAATAAAACTTATAAACAAGAACATTCAGAGCCTAAGTATTCACTAAAAAGCAAATTCCTTGATCCCTCCCTTTTAGGGTCAGGATTCAATTACACAAAAATATGCAGCAGACTTAAGGACTGCATGTAAGATTAAGATAACTGGTATTTCATGGTAAATGATTAAATTAGCTGACACAGTTTTATCCTGAACTTTGCCATTAAAACTGACATTTTTGTGCCATGTACATTGTAGGCTGCTGGCAATCTAAAATGCCTTTCTTCTTTCAAAGACTTTAAATAGCTAAAGAATCCTTGATCTTTACTCTGTTTGCAAATGTGCGGAAAATATATCTATATCATAACAAGATGAACTAAGCGCAGGTCTTGTTTTTTTCATTCGCCATACAAATACCTTAAGAAAGCGTCAAGGAAATTTCAAATGCCCAGCATCAGATCTGCACCATGTACTTTAATCAAGTCATTTATGTGACTCTACAGAGATGAGAACATGCTGTCCTCATCACCGTGAATAAAAATAGAGAAATGACAGAAGCCTCTTACTACAAGTTTAACTATTCCTAGTATACAATTCTATAACCCTCTGCTTTATTCTCCTTCATTTCAAGCTTGCTTTTTTATGCGGCCAGGGAGTTATGGAAATAATTTTGATACAATACAGAGTTTAGGACTGGAGGGATGAAGCATTGCCAAAGCTGGTGGTTGTAGTCACTGTCCTTCAGTTGAGATACCTGGGAAAGGGGAACTCAACTTCCTTTGTGAAGTTACCCAGCCTTCAAAGCAAAGCACAGGCACCCACCATTGTACATAGCAACGGCAAGGTGAGTCTCATCAGATACCTAAACTTTGGGGAAAGCGTATCTCCTTAGCGTTGCACTGAGAAGACATTGGAGCTGGGTGGGAAGAAAAGCCACAGAAGCACTGCAGAAAGGAAGGAGGAGGCTGGACACCGAGACTTTGTTTCCCTAAGAGAGAGCATGAGGGCTGGGCTCTGGCTGAAAGAGGAATCTCATGTGATCAGATAAAATTCTTTTAGTTCTTCAACTTGTCCTGTGATCAGAAAAATAGTTATTGGTCCTATTTTTGTAAATATGTAGTTACGTAAAAGCAATGTGTGAAACTCACTAACAATTTCTCCTCCTAAGTAGAATAATTTAGAATACCCCAAACTTTTAGTTAGCCAGAAAGTTCAAAACAAGTAGCTATAACAATATAAAAGCACACAAACTGCAATACTGGTCCAGAACAATGGTCCAACTTGTCTAGTCTTTCAGACAAGACCTTACACACTTTTGAGAATGATGCAATAGCAACGACAATTGTTATTATAAAACCATCTACTTGAATGGGACATTTAATTTGCCACTCACGGGCTCTGAAAGCTGGAGCTTTACGAAGAAGTCAGGCATGCATCATATACCTCCTCCTGTGCGCTGGCACAAAGATAAAAAAATCTCCAAACACTGACTATACAGTTTGGAGGAGTAAAGACATGTCTCTGTACCTTGACTTTTAGGAAGCAAGCTCTCTGCTGAAACAGGTAGTAAAAGCTCCACAGACACCAAAGAAACTGTGTTTTTTATTCCAGCAGAGAATCTGCCTCTTTATTCTTATTGCAGACTTATCAGAGGTTTATAACACAAATGTTATAGCAAAGCTACTGGATTCCTTGTTAACCATAAACAATTGAGTAAGACTTTGGACTTTACCCTTTTCACATCTTGGATCTGCTGTCAGTTCTAATAAAGAGCAAGAAACAGCTTTCTACACAGCACCTTCCCCAGGAGTTAAAAATTGCAGTTATACAGCACTCACGCAGTCATACCACTATCATCAAAGGACGACTTTCAACGAAAAGAAATGGCCATGAAGACAGTTTCATTGTTTGAGAACTCATGCAAATGCTGAACAATGACACTCAATCTGATCATTTGATTGACACTCAATCGAAAAATCAAACCTGTATGACCACCTCACAAATTGTGTTATTCAGCTAAAACTTCTCAGCTCTCCTATATCATTTCTTGGCTTTTATACATTGTGCAAAGGATATAGCTACTTTTGTTTCTCTTTGTACATTTCAAACGTTGAAAACCTTCCACAGCAGAGGTTATATGAATCATCTAGCTTTTCCTGTTCTAAAACGTTTCACTGATCATTCATTATGTACTGAGTAAAATGAAGATAGCTATGATAAATTTTGAGCTGTCTTAAAGTATTAGAAAGGGTATGAAAACATCTTGTTCATAGCACTAACTTTTAGATGACATATGAGGGTACAACCCCACTTTTTTCACTGTCACATACAATCAGGCTCTTAACCACCCAATCACTTAGTATTACGTTTTTTCCTGTTCCTAGGCACTAAGAGTGCCAGTTTGGTCTGGCATTCAGGACAAATGCATTTAAACAACACAGCAGTCAGGGGACTGGGTGGTGGCGGACAGGAAACCCGTTGCTGTCAGACATCAGGATCCGAACTAATGTCTAGTTTTTTTCTAACTGAGGTATATTGTCTAAACAGCTCTACATACACATACATCCTCTTCTTGGTATGAGTGCTCTGGAAAGAGAATAATAAGCACGTGGTCCTCACAGATCTGGAAGTGACATTATGCAACGCATCCCAGTAACTGATGTTCTATTACTAAACAAACAGTAATATAACTGTATATGAAACTTGAAAATACCATGAGAAAATAATTCTTTTCGAGCAGCTCACTACGGAGATCAGAAATAACCTAAAGAGGAACGACACCAATCAAGGACAAAGAAGGAACTGGATCTTCTCTGTAAGCAGAGATCCTGGATACAACTCGCTCCTCTTCATTCTGCTACAAAGAAGACTGAACTGAAATTAGTGGGGCTATTTGAAATGTACTCCATAATTGGATATATTTGGAAAACACTTCTTAAAATGCTTTCAGTTTCATTACAGCCCCCTGCAGGCCAGGTTCCTCAGGGTGGGAGACTGTCAGGTCACTGAGTAAAGGAAGCAGATGTGGGACAGAAGTTATGCAAAGCTGGCTGTGGACTTAATAAGGGCTTGATTTGGTACCAATGAAATCAACAGGAGTTTGGCTCACATTTGCAATGGGAGATGGATCAACGCTTTATGCCAGCTGCTCCCTGCTGGGTAAGGGTAATCTCTCTGAAACAAAATATTTTAACTTGGTCGCATTCTGCTGATGCAAGAGGGCTTCCCACGATGATGCTTTCATGAGAATTAAAAGGTGTGTCCCATTTTTTCTCCCAGATGCCCCTGTTCCTCCAGGATATATTTGCTGAAGCAAAAAAATGAGACACCTGCTACCAAGCACGTGGGTTTACATAAAGCTCCACAGTAAAATTAGCTACATGGTGGATCATGTGTTTGTTCTGCTGGCCATGACAACACTTCTCCTTGCAGTTTCCTCAGCTGGAAGATGCTGCTAGGAGGAATGAAAGTTCTGACAGCTACAGCTGAGGCGATGGGCGAGAGTGTAATAGCCGAAGCCCCGCAGGCAAATAGGAAGACGATAGAAACAGGCAACTGCCAACAGGTGGGGAGTCATGAAGAGCAGAGCTCGGGAAAATGATCAGAGACAGGAGCTGAGGGAGGACAATAGTAACACTAAAAGCGGATGTGTGTGTCACGCAGTTTGGATCCAAGTATGGCATTCAGTCTCAGTTAACGTTTCTAGGTTTTATGGGGGAAAATGAGGTCTAAAACAAGGGAACTTCCCAAGTTGCTCCACAGATCAGTAGCAAACTGGCTATTTCTAGCCCCTCTGCATGTTAGCGAAGTTCAAAGCTGGTGTGGAAGTTGGGCTCACTTACCCCACCTTTGGATTTGGTTCATTCCCTCTAGCCCCTCTGGCTGAGATCCATTTGGCTAACAGACCTGGAATATAAAGTCTGCTAAGTTTTAATAAGCAATTATTTAGTTTTTAAAATCCCTTTAATTGCATTCTAATGAGATTTCCATAAAATTCAAAGTCCTCTGCCTCCTCCTGGGAACTTTTGTTTATTCTATAAAGCACGGAACTTTTTAAAAAGCTCTAGAAGACTTCAAGAGAGGAAACTTCCAGAGAGAAAATTGTTGGTTTGACAACCTGGGAACTGAGCTTTCATCGTCCAGAAACAGAAAACTTATGGAATCATTTGATCTTAAGAGACTGTGACATTTTTATGGAATGAAAGGAGGAACGGAAAGATGCAGTGACAAAGCCGGGAGCTGCATCTGGCTGGCTATTCCAAGGAGCATTTTCCTTACAGATTTTTACGGTTCTCCTAGCCCTAATATTAAACACTTGACCTTTTTGTCAGATACTATTTCAGATTATTAGGCTGGATGATTGGTTACTAAATATACCGTCTACAGTAAATAGGAAATTGTGTAGTTCAATGCTTCAGTCTCAGACCTTTCAGGTATTGCTCCCTTGGCATTTAACATTAGAACACTGACTCTCCTTAGATTAACTTAAGTCACTTGGTAAGCAAGAGATGCACAGCATTTTCATGTAGGGCCTAGGGATTTCTGAAGCAGCACTACCAGAACACGGATGTCTCCTCCCCTTCACACCCCTCCTCATCCCCAGACCAATGGTTTTAATGGGAATGTCCCAAATATTGAGAGTCAAGTATAAGTAGGTGCTAACGGATGAGTAACAAATACAAGCAGTTACCTTTTAAAATTCTGTAAACTAGCATTTTGCAAATGACTCTGCTCTGAGCTTCTCTCCAGATCAGAGGTTAACTCTTCTGTTCATCTTCCCCCCTCCCCAG